TGGTTTAGTAAATTCTATATTTATATCTTTAATCTCAAATATCTTGGGGATTTGCAAATTTAAAAAGTTTTTATTAAATGGTGTAAGTTTTGTGATCGTGAACAGTTTCAAAAACAGTTTTCTAATTGGGAAACTGGTAGTTCAGAATTCAATAAAATTATCAGAGATTCTCAGCTTTCTATCAAATATCCCAACGTGTATATACAGTGGATTCCTTATGAAAAGTTTTCTAATATTGAATTTGTGGGTAAGGGTGCTTTCGCAAAGGTCTACAAGGCAGATTGGATTGAAGGAATTGGTGTCTGGGACTATGCCCTTGGCAAGAGAGTTCAACATTTGAACGCACCTGTAGCTTTAAAAGAACTCAATAAATCAACAAACATAAGTAAAAATTTCCTTGAAGAGGTAACATATGAGAATCTATATGCTGACCTATTTTTTTGAATCATTTGATTTTATTGTATATTAATTCATAAAATTATTTTAGGTCGTCGCCTATATTAAATCGCCCTCTAGTACAGTGCTTCGCTGCTATGGTATCTCAAGAAATCCTGAAACCAAGGAGTATGTTATGGTTTTTCCTTACGCACATGGTGGTAATTTAAGAGATTACATGAAAAAGAAATTGAATTGGGTGAATAAATTGGACATTTTACGACATATATTATTCGGACTGTCTGATATTCATGCTAGAGGACTTGTTCATCGAGATTTGCATCCAGGCAATCTCCTCCATTATAGAAGGACCATATCTGTATCTGATTTAGGCCTTTGTCGCCCAACTTCTGATGTTAATGAATCTGAAGAAATATATGGTGTTGTTCCATTCATAGCTCCTGAAGTTTTAAATGGAGAACCTTATACTCAAGCATCAGATATCTATAGCATTGGAATTATTATGTGGTTTCTTACTTCAGGATATTATCCTTACTGCAATCGCAATTATGATGAACACACTTGATTGAAGAAATATGTAAAGAAACACATCCACTTCGTCCGAAAGTTCTCGAGGGAACACCACCGGATTATGAGAAATTGATGCTAGAATGTTGGGGCGCAGATCCTAATAAACGTCCAACTACAAAAAAGCTGTATCAAAAAATCTTATTTTGGCTTAATGAATTCAACAAAAGTCCCTTACCAGACACAGTAAACCAATTTATTACAAGCAATTCGGGAAACCCCGATGAGACACACATTTTTAACAATGAACACTTTGCAAGTAAACTCATAACAACAAAAACTATCAAAGATTATACACCCAAAGACGATAAGGTTGTGGACGCAAACTCAGTAAACAAAGATGTCAATGACGATGAATGTAAGATGCGAATGTTTTT